GCAGCTCCCCCCGAATCCCGCGTCGAGAACAATGGAGCCCTTCTTCCGCGCCGCGGTCCCCCTGCAGGCCCGGCCCCCGCTGGAACCCAGGGCAGGGGTTCCCCCGCCACCCCCCTTCGAAGCTGGAGGGCTTGAAAGTAAACTAATTTCAATCACGATTATTATATATCAGCTACCTTTTTTGTTCGTTTTTAAACACTCCCACCCCCTGCCCCTTCCACACAGGTTAGTGTTTCTATCGCGTCTGATCATATCACTGTTGAAGTTCCTGGAGAAGCAGCCAGTAGAATATCTTCCCTCGTAAGTTTTTAAACACTTGCCGAGTGTTAAATATCCATGAGCTTTTTGTTTTGTCCTAGCAATGCATCGTGACTCTTGTCCGCTGGACTGCAAGGTTTATGTGGGTAACCTTGGGAACAATGGCAACAAAACTGAATTAGAGCGAGCTTTTGGCTACTATGGACCACTGCGCAGTGTATGGGTGGCAAGAAATCCTCCTGGTTTTGCCTTTGTGGAATTTGAAGATCCACGAGATGCAGCTGATGCAGTAAGAGAACTAGATGGAAGGTAAAATGTTCTTCTGTGTTTGGTTTTCCTGGTGCAGATAAAAGAAATTGTGGGTAGTGGTACAGTTTAAATTGGGAAGTTTCAACTGGCAAAACTAAGGCCTTGGCATGTTTATGTGATACTTGTATGGTGCTATGAGAATAGCTTTTCCTACTAGTGCAGGAATAGCATTGGGACAGTTAATTTTACATTTTAAGAGCTGGGTTCTTAAGTTAGACATGACCTGGACCTCCTGGTGTGCATTGGTTAGATTGAAGATGGTGTTACTGTAAAGAGGCAAAAATAATCACAGACTCTGCTCAGTTCCTTCTCCCCTTGCTTCAGTAGCAAGCCAAGCGTGCAGAGGTGGCCAAACCTTCTGTCTGTCGAGCTGGAGTCTGCTTTTTGAGCCTGACTCCTCTGTGCTTTGGGGGATATTTCTCCCCTTGTTGCCAGCTCCGTTCCCCTCGATCCTGCAGGTTTTTCTTCCACACACCCACAGACTCGACCCTGGCAGCACTAACGCATGTCCATCTTTTCCCAGAACCCTCTGTGGGTGCCGTGTCAGAGTGGAGCTCTCCAACGGGGAGAAGCGGAGTCGGAACCGGGGCCCCCCTCCCTCCTGGGGCCGGCGCCCTCGAGACGACTATCGGCGGAGAAGTCCTCCTCCTCGCCGCAGGTACCCGAGGTCCAAGGGCCCCTGTAGAGCTCTGGGCACTGTTACCACTTAGCATCCTAGAAGCAGGCTTTTTAAAAGCATGTTGATGGATAACGGTCATCTGTCAGATCACTATTTGGAGATGGTAAATGCTTAAAAAAAAAAAAACCCGACCCCCAAACCCCCCCCACAAAATCGAGGTGAACTTAAATTGTGTGGAATGTTTTGGCTTTTGTCCTTAGGTCACTGTGCCAGTGGGTAGTCAGCGCCCTGTCCTGGACTTACTCTGGTTCCTCCTAAAATCTGCTCATCTTCTAGTCACACTTTCCCTTTCCTCCCCATACTTCAACTTTAGGCTGTTCCTTTCCTTTATTCCATAACGGCAAAACATGACATGCAGCAGCTTAGCATTTCCATCCCGATGTTTCTCTGCTTTGTTTGCACAATTGGAGTACTTTCCAAGTAGGCAGCTGTTTAGTAATAGATGGAGTAACAGTTGCTCTAAACATCTAGAATCTTTATACACGTGAGTGATAGTTTGGAGTTTAAAACAGCGTGTGATGATCCTGTCACTTGAGGTTTGCAAACCCAGCTCTAAAATCTAGCAGGATTTTTGGTAACTGAGCCGTTCTTGGCCCCAGACTAGCTTGCCCGGCGGTTTAGGTCTGTGCAGCGTGGTTTTTGCAGGACTGAGTTTACCTGTTGCAGGTGAGTGAAGTCCTCCCGAGTTCAGGGTTTCGAGCTTTACCCTTTTGCTGTTGAAAAATAACGCATTAGGAGTATTTGTTAGCTAATAGACGGTTGTACTGATGGCTTGTTTTTCATTTTTTTTATGCTTTTTGGTCCATCTATTAATAAAAATGAACCCGTTACAGAGTCACCATCATGTCTCTTCTCACCACCCTCTGAGTCTGCATTAGCCAGCCAACTAGCCCTTTCAGCGTCATGTGACCAGCGCGCCCCATGCAGCTTGGCTGGTGTCGTTTCACATGACCCAGGCATGGCCAGTCGTCAGGTTGCACCGCCCTTTGGTTCCCGAGCATGCTGTTTTCTCTCAGCCTTCTCTCCAACCTTAACCAAATCGGCAGCAGCCACCTCGACCGCCCACACATTCCCGGCCAATCAGCTCAGCTGTTTATTTACCAAATGTCTTCACAACAACTACAGCAGCAGCCTTCGGCTAACAAAAAAGCAGGAAAAATCCACAACACCCCCTTCGCCAACCAACTAAATACAACGCAACATCTGGCAAAACCTTTTCAGCAAATTCTTCTTGGCAGTCAGTCCGGCAGCCTCACCTCACCATTTCTAGCTTGTTGAAACCAAAAACTAGTAAGTTTTTCCTGCTTATACAGTTTACTGCTGGTTAAAATAAGGAGTAAGCGGCTTATAAGTAATTACTTTTCTCAATCAAAGGCTGGCTGTGCATAATTGAGTGGTAACGTACATATGTTGCTTGAGAGAACTTTTAAGGGTGATATGGAAGCTCTTACACTGTGAATAACGTAAAAACCAGTATATTTGCATGTGAGATGCCAAACTAAATTTTTTAATAAAGCTCTAACCTACTTAGCTTTTCCTTGCCAGAAAAATCCTATCACCTTTAAATGGTTTTACTAACAGTTTTCAAAACTTAAAACAATGAGTTTTTTTTGGGATGAACTGGGCCGAGCTAAGGTTATTTTTGTATTTTTAATTTTTTTAAAAAAAAAATAGTCTAAACACACTCTTTTGGCATTAAAAAAATGACAATCACAAATATGCAGTTCTAATGTAGCACTTAATGGCATTATCAATATTTACACTGAGCTCATTTTCACTTTTTTCCACTTTGGTATCTCTTATGTCTTGTTATGGACCTTTTTGGCTTGCATGGGTTCCAAAACATTTGGTCTGTGCTATTTTTTTTTTTTACTTTTTTTTGGAACCACTTGTGGGACTTTGGTGTGGTGTTCTGGGCAGTGTATTTAGTTGAAATGGAAAGTGTTGCATTGGACAACTCTGCTCTGAAGCATTCTTAGTTAAAAGTGAGTTCCTGGTTGGAAACGTGCTGTTGACACTGAGCTTTGTTTTACTGCCTAATCTTTCCATGCCTTTTACTGGATGATGGATGCCAGTTATTCTTGGCACGTTCCCGGGGCCCAACAGTGAGTTTGACAAGCTGGGAATTGCCTCACCCCGTTCATGCTGGAAGGACGGATAAAAAGCCTGACATGTCTTTTTCTGGTCCTAGATCACCACGAAGGAGAAGCTTCTCCCGCAGCCGCAGCAGGTACGTCAGTCCTCACAGCCTGGACACCTCTGTCCAGGGGCTCTGGGGAGAAACAGACCAAACCAGCCTCACGTTTGGGCTCTGGGCATTGGTAGGCTCCAGGAGCAGGGAGAGGTGGCCTTGCTTTGGTCATGCTGCACTAGAGCTTTAAAGATCCCTTCCAACCCAAACCAGTGGGGTTCTGTGCTGTTGCTGAAGGTCCTGTATTTCCACAGCTATTGGAGATTCCAGGATTGTTAAGGCTGGAAGTTGTTGGCTTCTGTGTCCTGCAGCTGTCCCAAGTTCCTGACAGGTTTTCCCCACTTTTCTGTGTTCATGTCCTGCTCTCCTCCAGCTACTGTGAGGTGGTGAGGGACATGGGACCATATTCTGCTGTCATGGACTGCAGAGCATTAGGTGATGACCCAGCTGCATCACACAGTTTGGTGCTGGGATCTTAGAAGCTTCTGGATTCCATGTACAGTGGTTAAGTTTTGCAGCACGGGGCTCTGGGTGGCTGAGGGGTGTTGTGGGTGCACGTGGACACAGTGTTAGCTGAGGTCTGGCTCTGAGCAGATTTAAACTGTGGAGGAGAGGTGCCTGCTCACAACACACCTCGAGCTGTGTGGTGTGGCTCAGGCTGATCATTCCTGTCTGGAGGAAAGGCTTGTGCCATAGTCTCCAGCAGGTTTCCCTGGAGAACAGTTAAAGCCCTGAACTCGTGGGGGGAAGCTCTTCAGCCAGCCTTGTAGCACGGTTCAGCTTTCCTTTGGCCCTGGAATAATATTGTTCTGTAACCCTGAACAGGTCCCTCTCCAGAGACAGAAGAAGAGAGAGGTCACTCTCACGGGAGAGGAACCACAAGCCCTCGCGCTCCTTCTCCAGGTCCCGCAGGTAGGATGGCTCCTGGGGAGACCACATGCCTTGGGTAGCACTGGGGGGACAGCTGTACCCCTGTCTTTAATGCTGAAGTTGTGGTGGAGAATCATCTCTAGTGCCTAACGAAAGTCTTCACCTTGAAACATAAACCACTCAGTTTTATGACATGAGCAGTGGTTTTAAAGTCCTTAAATACCTGCTGAGTTGGGCTGGGGTGGAGATTAAAGCAAAATCTGCCCTTGGCAGCCAGGTACTGACCTCTCTGTTCTTCTGCAGTCGCTCCAGGTCAAATGAGAGGAAATAGGACTCTGGGAAGGAGCTGTGTACAGGAAGTCCTGAGCTCCAAGGACAGGAGGAGTATGTACAGAACATTGTTTTGTTTTGAAACTTCATAAAGCTTGGTGCATTTTTAAAATGTTTTAGCTGTTGAACTTGCTTTGTTCCTTGTATCTTGTAACAGGTGGCAGATGTAAAGATGTGAATCTGTATATGGTTCTGAGCAGATCTATGATTTGTAATATTAATCCTTTTGCAACGTAGCGTCCCACCCGTGGGGGTGGGGGTCCTGAGCAGTGCTCAGCTCCAGAGCCTGCTGCTCGGGCACAGTCAGGGATGGGGAGGGAACAACTGAGCTGCAGTGTTGTGCAGAGCTCCAGTCCGGACTGCATTACCCAGAGCTGAGCTGCTTTATTGTGTGAAACAGATCTTTAGCAGTAGGGTCAGTTGACTTTGTACTTCATGTGTGGTGGACCATCTAGTCCAGGAGCTCTGAGCAGACCAAACCACAGCAGCACTGACAGCTGGGGTGAGTGTGGGGTGGTACGTTGTGAAACCAATGAATTCAACATTTCTTTACTGTACAAGAATTTTCATGTCACTTGTAAAATGTCTTTTGTGAGATCCTTGGGATTAAAGTTTTGGTTACAACTTGTTGTTTAGTGTTTAACTTGAGTGCTTGCTGCATCCATTGATGTTATGGAATGTGTGCTGGGGTTTTGGGGTGCACCTTGGCTGAAATCAAACCTGCTGACACCACCTCTTGCTGTAACACCAGGAGGTGTCACCTGCTGCTATGAGCTGCAGGTTGTGTGGCTGTGCTTGTGGTGAGGGGCAGTCCCTGCCCCTGTCACTGGCATCCCCCAGCAGCCTTCTGAACTGGGGGGGTTGGCAGGGGATGCTGCCATGAGCCCCATCATCCCTACCTGCCAAATGAGCTGGAGATGGAAGGGTCCACCATGGGTTTGATCAAAGGAGTCCTTCCTATCCAGCTTGGAATGGCTGGTCTGTAAGCTGGAGCTCTGCAGCAAGATGTCACTCTGTGAAGCCCTGGTGTGGCTCAGTGCCACTGGAGCTCCCAGACTGCCTGGGGGCTCCATGGCCCTGTGTCCAGGAGGAGATGGGCTCTGGCAGGGTCAGTGGTGCACCTTCAGATGAAGGTACTGAACAGTCCCGTGGCCTCCAGGTGGGAGCCAGGCTGTGCTGGGAAGAGTTGGCCTGGAGAGAGTGGGGAGGGTGGACAGGGTGGTTTGTCAGTGCCTGGGTGGGACAGGTGCTGCTGATCTGGGCTGCTGAGGGTACTGATCCTTTTATATTTTAACTACTTAGCACTGTTTATGGTTGGACTTGATGGTCTTAAAGGTCTTTTTTCCAAGCAAAATGATTCTGTGACTTGACTAGGAAGGAGTTTAACAGCCCCCTGTGCCCAAGCAGCATTTAACCAACCTCGGGCTCACTAAACATCAGGAAGGCTGCAGGGCACCAACAGCCCAAACTCAGCCTGGAGTGTGGGAAGCTCAAAAGGTACAGAAAATTAGCTTTTATCATAGAGTCATTTTGTAGGGGGAGATGTTAAAGACCAAGTCCAGCTGTTCTCCAGCACTGCCAGGTCCCCACTCTTAGCCTGGAGTGTGGGGAGCTCAAAAGGTACAGAAAAATCATCAGCTTTTATCATAGAATCATTTTGTAGGGGTAGATGTTAAAGATCAAGTCCAGCTGTTCCCCAGCAGTGCCAGGTCCCCACTGCCCCGTGTCCCTCACCCCACATCTCCACGGCTTGGAAACCCCTCCAGGGGTGCGGACTCCACCACTGCCCTGGGCAGCCTGGCACAGCCCTGGGCAACCCTCCAGGGCAAGAAATTGTTCCTCAGGGACAACTGAAACCTCCCCTGGGGCAACTTGAGGCCGTTTCCTCTTGTCCTGTCCCTTGTTCCTTGGGAGCAGAGCCCGACCCCCCCCTGGCTCCAGGCTCCTGTCAGGAGCTGTGCAGAGCCAGAAGGTCTCCCCTGAGCCTCCTTTGCTCCAGGCTCAGCACCCCCAGCTCCCTCAGCTGCTCCTCCCCACACTTGGGCTCCAGACCCTTCCCCAGCAGCTCTGTTGCCCATCTGGACATGCTCTGGGGTATTTGGTCTGTTCCCCTCTCTGCCCAGCTGGTGATGTTGCTGTGAGGATGTTCCTGCACGGGGGTGCTGCTGCTCCGGGTGGGGTTTCACTGACCTGGAGCCCCTGCCCGGAGCTGGGTGTGCTGCTCTGTCCCGTGTGTCCCCGTCCCGGGGCGGGTGCTGCCGGCGCTGTCGCGGCTCCCCAGCAGAGGTCGGGGCTGTCC